GCCTAGCCCAGAAAGTGTGTTCTGAACATTCACCCGGCTACATCTTCAAGAACCAAAGAGTAGAGTCAAAAGGGACCCTAGAGATGATATACCAGAAGATAATAATAGGTTTTGCTTCATGCACCAACTTCCATTGATTGGTAGTCAGTGGAGTGCTGAGATCAGGAGGATTCGGAGGCCTCGTTCGAGGCCGAGTAAGAAATGCTTGAGATTGACCGTGTCTGCCACGGACTCAGGGTTAGAAAGTCAGGGAATTTTCCAACCTGCACATTTTAGAGGATTATGTATTTTAATTGTCCAGCCACATCTCTGTCCCCACGTCCACCCTTACAGCATGTGGGGTGTGAGGTAATTTCCCTTCTGATTGCTGTTAACACTGGTAGCTTTAGAGACAGCTCAGACGAGCTTATCTGCATTCGCTTTCTGTTCAGAAAGGCTGAGATGAGTTAGTTTCTTTGCGTCAAGACTCCAGGAAATGGTAGTCAAGTTAAGGTTTTTCTTAGACTCAGCCGTTGGCTCAGGCTGTTGTGGGATCCCCTTGGTGTTTCCCTGCACCCAGCAGGTATAGCAGTGGATGGCTGTGGAGGGTGGCTGTTGTTTCTCCACCACCACCCCCGGAGGTTGTGTGTGACTCACTTGGTGTGGAAATCCACATGGTTTTGTGACACACCCCCCACCCCCCATTTCTCACTCTGGACACCAACTCGAGGAAGATTGACCACAAAACATTTATAATCTAGCAGGCACCATGCTCTCTTTTCTCTGGGCATTTGCACATGCTGTTCACTGTGCCTACAGCGCCCTCCCTTGCCTACCCCCCAAGTCTGTCTCCTTTTCATCTGTGGGGGCTCAGCTCATTGTCATTCCCTTTGGAAGCCTTGCCTGATCCTTGGCCCTTTTCCAGGTTTCCATAGCATTTATCAGTTTTTAAATCGATGATTTACTTGTCAGTCTCCACGGTGGTCTGAGCTGGGAGCACCACGCTGACTCCAGGGCGCATAGTAGGTGCTTGGCAAGGAGTTGTCTGTAGGTTTGTTTCTTCTTGGCCTGCTTGACTGTGTCACTGAGCCAGTCTTGCTGGCAGGGACCCAGGAGAGAGTTTTCTGGTATGTTTTAAAACTATTGAAAACCTACAATCTGGTAGATTTATGAAAATAGCAGTTCTTACTACTGAAATCCTGAAAGAAATTGGGCATGAGCTTCTCATGAGAAATAAAGGAACTTCTGCTACACGCCCCTCCCCCACTTTTTTATCTTTTGTAGAAATCTGTAGGGGTGGAAATCACAGGATGTGTTTGTCATAAGCAAATGTTTTTATTCACTTAGCCTGGTGAGAACCAGCACAGCTCTGCTTCCTTGGAATGAGGGCAGACGTGAATTTCTTAGTAACCTGTTCATCACTGAAGAGTTAATTTTTTTCCCTGAAAATTTTTCTAAGCTTCATTCTCTACCTTTAAAACCATTTTTTCTTGTGTTACGAAACTTAGCAAACAGCAATCCATGCTTTTCTAACAGTGCTCTGCGTCAGATTTAGTTTTTTCTTGATGTCTGGTGGGGGGTGGAATGGATGAAGAAATGAATGAGTGAATGACCCGGGGTTGTCACTGTGCGTCATTTCAGGGTGTCAAGGGGGTAGAACGGCCTCAGTGTGGTCTGAGCCCTCGCGTGTGCTGGGCTCCCATGGCACCGGCCTGTGTTCTCGCTGCTCCGTGGACCACCCTCTCCATCCCTTGCTCCCACTCTTGATTTGCTGTTTTAATCTGCTGGGGGCTGGGAAACTGGATCACTGGAGTTGTCTAAATGATTCTAAAGTATGGTGTAATTAGCTCCTTTGGGGCCGTTGCTGGGCATAGAGTACGTGAAGATTTTCTGCGCTAACTCTGATCTCTGTTTGGGCTGATCTGAGGCCCTTAAAAGGCTTCCTTGTATCTCATCTCCCTGACGGTTACAGTACCAGGTAAACGGCCTTGGAGAAGGTGAGTCTCTCTGTGGGAAGATGAGCCTTCGCTGGCTGGGAAGGGTCTGTTCCTGTATCCACCGGGGCATGCGATTGGCACTTGCCAATGACGTGTACTGACGGGACAGAGGGGGCGGGAGCCCGGGGTTGGGCTGGAGGGCGCTGTCCCTGAGACTGATCGGACGCTTTGTCAGTGCTCAGACGCCGGCATCTGCTTTCCTCTTTCTCGAAACTAAAATTAAGCACCTGATCAATAGCTCGGTGTTAACAGAGAAGCGAGTCGTTGTGGTGATGTGTATTAATATTCTATGGATTAGAGCCTCTCGTGCCAAATAAAACTCCTCAAGTTAAAAAAAATCATAAGAGTGAGCGTATTTTCTTCTCAAATATTGATGAATTTCCACACTTACTAGCAGGAGAAGGATTGAGCCATAGTGGATTGATTCTCAGGTGTGTTCTTGAGAGCAGGAAAGTGCTGTGGCTCAGCCCAGCGGCCCCTCCCGCCCCACCTGCCCTGCCTTTGGGCCAGGCGGGGGCAGGTGTTCCTGGTCGAGTGAACTCCCAGCCCCAGTTCTGAGACTCCACAATGATCTCGTCATCTCAGGGGAAGCCGTTTCTAGCTGTTTCTCAGTTGAGGGGTGTTAGGAGGAGGTTGCATGTTCACGTGCTCCTTATGCCCAAGGACCTGAAGTGAACCACAGCATTAGTTCTTAGGACGGGAGCTTGGTTTTTTCATCCCAGCAGTCTTGGGTGGATACTTTGGGGTGTTTTGGCACAGTGTGGGTGGGAGATGGTAAATCTTTCAAGAAAATGATGCTATTTCTGGAATGTCCCTCCTTCTCCAAATATAATGGATATTTGATGTAATGAAAAAGGCAGAACACCATAGGATGTTTTGTTTTTTTTTTTACCTGAAAGGAAACCCTGCTCATCACTCAGGCCAGCTGTCCCCATTGTATAGATGTGGAAACTGAGGCTTAAAGACAGAATGTGGCTTGTCCAGGTCACACTGTTTATTCAAGTGATTGAGATGGATAAACAGACGAAGACACATCAAAGAGACACAATTTTAAATGATGAAAGGATCTTTTGCCTATCTGATTGGCAAAGCTGAGGAAGAGTGGTAAGATAGGTGTGTTGGTCAGGGTAGGAAAATGGGGCTTAGTGCCTGTTTCACAGGGTAAAGTGCTAAAACCTGTCTGCAGGGCAGTTCAGCGATATGAAAAGCTTGAAAGATAAGTTTACCGCAAGGAAATAAGGATATGCATAAAGAATTCGCCACCAAGATGTTCTTCGTAGCATTGTTTAGACTAAGATACCGAAAAATTGAACCTCTGAACCTCTGGAAGGGGATTGTTTGAATAAGTTAGTGGCCTTCCTTCAAAGTAAGTGTACAACCATCAAAAATGACGTCTGTGTGTTTTCTGGAATTCGCTTTAGAATACTGCACCCAAACAATGAAACTTACAAAACAGGGAAAAGGAGGAGGGAGATAGAATTAGATGTGCAGAATGTTGGTAACATGAAGCTGAGTATGGAGGGGTTTATTATACTGCTCTTCCTCGTCTGTTTGGAATTTTGCATAATGGAAAGGATAAGGTTGTATACAGCCTCATTTTAGCGTCAACTCCATATTTCCTGTGGGGATTGCTCTCTCCTGTTGCACCTTGCTTACCATACATGCTAAAAAGAGATGCTGATTTAAGGTTCATTAATTATGAAGAGATATTTATGATACATTTGAATGGAAGAGAGCTTCACATAGTTATGTGCAGCATTCTCTTTTGGTTAAAAATGTAAATAAATGCATAGGTAGAAAATAGTTGGAGCGTGTACACCTGAGTGGCTATCACTGGGTAGAGAAGTGGGGTTTTTTTTTTTAGTTTAGTTAATAATTTTTTTCCCCTAGAACAAGTGTGTCGATGGTGAAATTATATAAACAGTTGGGATTAACTAAATCTGTTGCTCTCCTGATCTAGGGAAGAGCATGGAGGAGATTAAGAAGGTGCTGCTGCTGGTGCTGGGCTGTGCCGTCCAGGTGGGGATCGCGCAGGGGCCGCAGAGGAGCCCCCTTAGCCGTTTCATGTTTGCATCTGTGGGGGGAAAACAAGCCCTTAGCTTAGGTGGGAGTGACCTCCCTCAGTCCAGTGTGACATAAGGCTGCTGGGTTCCTAGGAGACAGTGGCCATCATCTTAGGTGGCAGATGTGTCTACTACCAGGGCACCCTGGGCAGGAGGCCAGTGCACTATCAGCACATTGTCCCCAGTATAGGAACTCACCCAACAGGGATCTGCAAACTACAGCCCATGGGCCAGTGGGACCTGCCGCCTATATTTGTTGGTGCCTATATTTGTAAATAAAGTTTTATGGGAACACAGCCACGTGGCTTCACACGCTGTCTGTGGCTGCTTTCTCATTACGACAGCAGCATTGAGTGGTTGTGACGGAGATCAAATGGCCTGCGAAGTCTGAAATATTTACCATTCGGCCCTTTACAGATGAAGTTTGCCACCCCCTGGCCCAAACCAGGCGTTCTCCCCCTCTGCACGTTTAGGAATCATCTGGACAGCTTGTTTAAAAGGAGGAGCTGTGTGTCCCACCCCTGCGTTTTCCATCTGGGAGGGGGCTAAGGATGGGCTTTTTGAAAACAAGCTTCCCAGGTGATTCTGACATAGGTGGTCCTGGCAACACCGGGTCGGGGCTGGTCGGAGGTTGAAAGTATTCTTGGTTATAAAGGAGAAAGCAGGGGTGGGGGCGGTTCATTTTGAAACTATATTTCTGTGGCCGTGGTGGCCTCAAGTTTACCTTCCCTTGAAAACTGCTTCCATTAACACATGCGACCCTCTGCAGTGTGAGAAGAAAGAGGAGTTTATTGAGAGAATCAAACAGCTGGACATCGAGACCCAGGCTGGGATCGTGGCCCACATCCAGGAGGTAGGTGTGCGGCCTGGCGTCAGCTCAGTGTGGACTGCTGCCCGCGTGGCAGCCGGGGGGCAAAACCCCTCCCCGAGTGGAAAAGTTGAAAGACTACATCACTCATTAACGATTTTGCTAATTGTAGGTTTCAGACGCATCGATTCTATTTGGAAAGGTAGCCATCAATCAGCCAGCTAAAATAAAATGGGGGTAAAAATAAAAAATGGGAAAAAAAAATAACACCTCAATCAAGTCTTCTTTTGCCTTCTTCTTCTTACCTAATATGGACTCAGACTATTTTTAAGAGCTGTCAGGTGGTTTAGGCTCAGAATTTGATTTATAGGCCCTGAAAATGTATTCTGGCAAATGTCACCCAGCTTTGAATGGTTGATCTTTATAGAGATTCTCCGCTTCTGTCATTGACATGGCAGAGAAACAAGCTGCCACCACTTGGGAATCAAAACCAGAGAGTCCCAGAAGAGCTGCCTTGGGAGGCCCAGCCCAAGCTCAGGGCCCGGGGATGGGTCGGGAGGGCTCTGCGCTGCAGGTCGTTGGGGTGATACAGGAGGAGTGACCGCCAGTGACATTGGCAGAGGTGGTCTCAGCTGAAAAGTGGCTCTCCTGTGGGGCAGGCGCCTACCTGGAAGTGTACGTCCCTGACCGCCACTCCACCCTTCCTCCAAAATAAACGTTGCGTGTTTTAATTATCTTGAGGTTTAGCATTCAGTCTAATTGCACAGGTGAGATAAATGCATGAAATGACATGAGCACATAGGAGCTAATGTGTAACTGGCAGAGGCAGCTGAGCACTAAACTCCCCTTACCACGCGGGTGACGGGCTTCGGCTGGCCGGCCGGGCACTGTGGGCTAGGGAGTACTGAGCCCGGATTTGAAGCAGGAGGCAGACGTGGCTTGTTGTGGTGGGTAGGGGGTCCAATGAAGCCAAGGTCAGGGGAAGTCAGTATCGTATTAATAGTAAGCACTTGCAGCCATCGCTGGCCACCTGTCAGCCTAAGAACCATTCTGCCTTTCAGTTTCCCTGCGTGTTTCTGTGTTTTGAAAGTGTGCCTACCTAGACTGAGAGACGAGCCAGTTGGCTTGAGACGAGCCAGTTCTTTGCTTTTCTGTCTTTCCTGCCCAGCTGGCAGAATTTCTTTTTTCTTTTTTTTTTTTTTTTTAAGTACATCGCCGAGAGTCCTGCATGATTGTCAAATTCAGTGGGTGGCAGTGGGGACTGGGCTCCCAAATTCTCTGAGTGCTTTTGTAAAATTCAGGTGTCCAGGCCCTATGAGCAACACACTGAGCCAGAGTGGGGTGGGGAGGGGCACGAGGCTTTAATTAAAAGCTCGCAGGTGACCGTGGTGCAGCCAGGTCGAGCCCCTGAAGCCCAGCCACACCACGTTACAGGGGCCCCGAGACATCAAAGGATGGGCCTGCGGCAGGCCTAGAACCGGCCTCCACATCCCATGCCTTTAGGACACCCTGTATCCTGGGATGAGATTTCTCCTAATTCTCAGAGATCAGCTGTATGTAAACCTGTTCTTTTAAGGTGGGGAGAGGTAAGAAGGTGATGTCTTGTGAGGTACTAAAGGCCCCTGTTGACAGGCCTTGTTTTTGCTTTTTAGTTTTTTGAGTTTGTCTTTTTTTTTAAAAGCTATTCACTGCCTCCATTTACTGCTCTGAATAATTAAAGGACTTTTTTGGTGGGCTTCACTGAATAGATAGTCCTGGTTTCTTTGTTTTTGTTTTCCCTCTCTGAGGCCTGAGCACTGTAATATTTCTCTTCCAAAAATGAGGATAGGAACTCGAGAAGATCTGCTGCCTCCTCTGACGTACCTGGGGTCTGGACTGAGAAGGTCAGGTCAGCAAGGCCAGTCGACAGGCTGCTCTGCGTGGACAGGGCTGTGGGCTCCTGCCCAGGGAAAGAGACACAACCAGACCGTCTTCTGTGGCCCTTGGGAATGAGATCTACCTTCCCCTGAAAATGGTTTTAGAGTCTGAATAGTTCCCAAAAAACGCCCCAAGATTGCTGAGTACCAGCATTCTGATGTAAGATTTTTTTTGGTGGGGGGGAGATGGGGGTCTCACTCTGTTGCCCAGGCTGGAGTGCAGTGGCCCAGTCATAGCTCACTGCACCCCAAACTCTTGGGCTCAAGTGATCCTTGTGCCTCAGCCTCCTGAGTAGCTGAGTAGCTGGGACTACAGGCTCATGCCACCATGCTGCCCAGCTTGACATAAAATTCTTAATATTTTTGTTCTATTTGTATTAGATATCATTTTAAGCAGTAACAGTCCCCTTCCTCACCCTTCCACCCTGAGGCTTATCCTTCTGTATGTTGTAAATAGATGGTACTCCAATGAAGATACTTTATCTCAGGATCTTTTAGGGAAATGATTGTAAGAAGTGCTTTCTGGTACTAAAAAAAACCCAAAAATCAGTGTCCTCTTTGAACCAGTTCTGAAAGCAGAAGTGGTTTGTGTTAACGGAGCTCTGCTGAAGAGTTGGCTGCACTTGCTTAGGGAACCCCTCTCCTTGCCATAGAAGATGTGTCAGTAATGGGTCATTAACGCTGATGGAATGATACACCGTTTGCAGTGCTCGAGGGAAGTGGGTGCCTGCTTCTGCCTGGGCCGCCGCCACGTGGCTGTAGGCAGGTGGGTGCTCCTGCCGGCCTCTGCAATGCTGGACTATGTGTGCCCGCAGGTGACCCACAACCAGGAGAACGTGTTTGACCTGCAGTGGCTGGAGCTGCCCGACGTGGCCCCGGAGGAGCTGGAGGCCCTTTCGAGGAACATGGTGCTTCATCTCCGGAGGCTCATTGACCAGCGGGACGAGTGCACGGAGGTGCGTCTGCGGGGCCAGCACCCCGGGCAGGTGGGGAGGGGCTTGGGCCTGGGGTGCCAGGCACCCCGCCGCTCTCCTTTTCTCTCTGTCTCCAGGTTGGATGCCTCCCGGTCTTGTTGGTTGGGTTCTTGGTGGCGTGGCAGGGGTGGGTGGGACATGGGCACTTTCCCTGGCTATGGCTCCTGCAGCGAATGGTCACCGCAGAGACACCTGGGGGAGGATGGAGATCAGAATGCCAAGCTCAGGGTCCTCCATTTATACACTTCCCCTTTGCCCCACTAAATATTTCACGTCTTTTTGAAAATTTGTATCCCCCTTCCTCTGCCTTCCTCCTGGTTTCCTAGTCTCGGATGACATCCTCTCGTGTCCTCTGGTGGTTTTTCCACTCACTCTGAGCTCAGGCACTGTGCCGGGCCCAGGTGCACACTGGCTAACCCCTTTCATTCTCCTGTGTCCCCCTTCCTGCCGCCTGCAGCTGATCGTGGACCTGACCCAGGAGCGGGACTACCTGCAGGCGCAGCACCCCCCCAGCCCCGCCAAGTCCTCCAGCGCGGACTCCACTCCCAGCCCCACCAGCAGCCTCTCCAGCGAGGACAAGCAGCACCTGGCCGTGGAGCTGGCCGACACCAAGGCCAGGCTGCGGCGTGTCAGGCAGGAGCTGTGAGTCCCCTGCTGCTTCTCCTACGTTTGTCACCAACACGTTTCAGCGTGCCATCCCCTCACGCATGGTGCTGCCGATGGGACAGCTCAGGGCCCACGGCAGAGCCCTGGAGTCAGCTGGGGTCTGCTCCGAGCTCACTCTTTGACCATAGACCAGTTACCTCCCCTCCCCAGACCTGCACAGGGAGGGAGGGTTCTTCCCGGTCTTTAGGGTTCCCGCCAGCCCACACGTTACAGATTGTCTACAAAGTAAACTGCTGCCACCCACCAGCCCACTTGGGGACAGGAGTGACCACACGGTGGTGTGTTTTCTTGGCTGGAGGGAGGAGACACCTCACCCCATCTGGTGAGCCTGTTCTCCCAAGCTTCCTGCAGCTGGTGGATGTCACTTGGCCAGTCATGAGCCACCCTCCTGCCCTCTGCATCAGCAGGCGCAGGCTGCCCACCGAGTGGTATAGCTGTGGCTGGGGTCTCCTTACCTGCCCCACACACTCAGAGGGAAACCCAGGTGGACGTAGTTTGAGGGCGGGTGTTGAAAACTTAAAAAGAGAAAAAGTTTTGAGTTGGGAACGTTTTTGCAGGCTCCGTAAGCGGATCTCCTCCCCACCACCGGGTCCCTTCCTTTCCACGCTGCCGTCGAGGGAAGTGGGAGCCTGCTCCCGAGGGCTTGCCCAGGAAGCTCCTCCCACGCTCTTCCTCCTGATTGTTCTTGCAGGGAGGAGAAGACGGAGCAGCTTGTGGACACCAGGCACGAAGTGGACCAGCTGGTGCTGGAGCTGCAGAAAGTCAAGCAAGAGGTGAGCAGAAGGCGCGAGCATGCGCCCAGGGGTGGCAGGGCTGGTGGTCCTGGGTGCCCCGCAGTGTGGCCTGGAGGGTCAGGAATGCAATGTCGGTGTTTCCAGCAAAGCTGCCCGAGAGCCCGTTGTCCCAAGCACTGCCGTGGGGATGACCGTTTCCTAGCGATAGCGTGTGGAGACCCTCATGGTGGCACGCATACCGTGCCCTGCGGCCACCAGGAGCCGGCTCATCCTCAGCCGTCCCGGAGACACCACATGTTAGGGACTTGGCCTTTCTTCCCCGCTAGAGAGGTGCCCTAAGCTGGGTACCCCTGCCTTCGCTCACCTTCCAGAACATCCAGCTGGCGGCGGACGCCCGGTCTGCTCGCGCCTATCGAGATGAGCTGGATTCCCTGAGGGAGAAGGCGAACCGCGTGGAGAGGCTGGAGATGGAGCTGGCGCGCTGCAAGGAGAAGCTGCACGACGTGGACTTCTACAAGGCTCGCATGGAGGTAGGTGCTGCACCGCGCGGCTTCCCGGCGAGGCTGCCGGATCAGAAGCACGTTCGGACTGGCCTGCCCTCGGGGGCTTTGGGGGCCAAGCCACAGTCCGGACCCTAGCCTCCTGGGCTTCCCAGGCCCGCCACCTCTGTCCCTCCGCGTCAGGTGGGTGAGGAGGGGTGTGCCTGGTTGGCGGAGGGCGGGGATTCCTTTTGCGGTTTTCCTTCTCCCACCCTGTGCCACAGTGATGGCCTTACATCCGCAGGTACCTTTTTTGGTTTTTTTAAAAAGATTTCTTATAATGTTGGTGGCTAATTTTTAGGACTCAGTTCCTTCATCAGGAAAATAGGAACAGTACTACTCTATGAGGTTTTAAAGATGAAAGTGGTGCAGTCCCTGTAGAGTGGTTTAGGCAGGTCCCATGGGGACCCCCAGCCCGTGGAAGCTGCCCTGATAGGTGTTACTTTAATTCATATCCAGGTTGTGGGCGTGTGTGGGTGAAGGGGTCAAAGGTAAACAGAGACCCAGACCCGGGTGAGGTGACTGATGCATTCACCACCCGCCCTGACGGCCTCGCGCCGGCAGCAGCGTCCGGAACCTTCTTTTCTGAGGTTTTGGGACTTGGGTCCTGGTTGCCCATCCGAGGGATTCGGAAGTGGTCTCACGGCCCTGAGAAAATTCGTTCCGCTCCAGAGACTCAAGCTGGACAGGTGCCGAATGCCAGCCTGTACTGAGCGGACTCATTTGATGCTAATAGATGATCCCAACTCTCTTCTTACCAGCCCGGAGGCTGCTTAGGTGACAGTGCAGAGCTGGGGAGCCCGGAGTTGCCCCGCAGGACCGCTGCATGGTGCGTGCGGCGGCTCGCTCGGGGACGGCTGTTGGCTGAGGCACTTGACCTGCTCTCGTGCTGCCACCAGACCCTGGAGTCCCTGGGCCAGGCGAGGCGGCTGGAGGAGGCTGTGTCCCAGGGCCCGTTAGTTCCTCAGACTCACTTGGGGAGCGTCCCTTGAGGACTGTGAGTGACAGGGTGACTCATGTTACCTTCTCTGAGAAGGTGCCCTCGGTGCCCCGCAAAGGCAACCTGGGCCTGAGCAAGGGGCAGGTGCGAGGCTGGTTCTCGGCTTTGTCTGGAGATGACCCACTGGCTCCGTTGACTACGAGAGGCACAGATCCCCCAGCACGGGTGGGCTCTAGGACGTGGCAGGTCCTGAACGGTCGTCCTCACCTCCTGGAGGTGCCCGGTTGGGAGGGCCAGGTGCTGTGAGGCATCAGCTCCTCCTGCTCTGTGGGGACCTTGCGCAGCCCCAGAAGGGTCCCGAATGGAGTGCTGATCCCACGTCTCACCCGCCACTGTCGTGTGGTGGTGTGTGGTCTCAGGATCTGGTCTCCACCTTCGTTTCCGGCCTCGCCCGAGCGATCTCGCCCAGTCGCGCACACACACCTCCCCGCGTGCGTGGTGCCACGCCCTGCGCCAGGAGCAGAGGGTCTGGAAACAAACAGGCTGTGCTCCCCGCAACAGGGAGCTTCCAGACTATGAGAGAAGTGCAGCATGGGGACCCCTTTTTCGTGTTCTCAAATTTCACGCTTCTGTGTAGTAACAGCAATATTTGTCACATTGATTAATAATTTTCATAGTGAAAAGTTACCATGAGGTTAATAATGCCTTCAATTTTGTATTCATTTCATTAATCACGAGAGAAAGAGAAACCGTGTCTGTCTGCGTGAGACGTTTACCCAGGGGCAGGCAGCGACCCACGTGGGTTTGCAAATGCGGAGCGGCCTCGGCAGGGGACGAATCGGGCCTGGTCAGTGGAGTCCAGGCCAATGTGGAGAGGAGTGAGTTGTACTCTTCTCTGATGACACAGCGTGAGGACTCAGGTGAACAGTGACGGACACTCATCCTCGGATTGAAGTAGTTGCGGTAGCCTTGCAGACTGTCTCCCGTCCCTACTGATGCTTAGAATGATTTGTGACTCCCTCCCTTGTCCCTGTCCCAGGCTTGAAACCTTTCTGGATATGAGTGACTTTGTGTCCCTCCTGCAGTGACAGTAACTGAGCAGCACAGGCGCAGTGATGGGAGAGGCAGCTGAGCTCCCAGGCCTGCTGTCTGGCGAGAGAGGCCGGCAGGCACCGCGAGTGCTGTGCTGGGGGCCCCACTGGGGGTGGGTGGGGAACGCGTTCCTGGGGATGCGATGTTGAAAGTGCCACCTAAAATGGCAAGGAGGAGTTAACCAAACCGGGAGAGCCACGCAGAGGGAGAAGCAAAGGCCTAGAAGCCCAAGAAAGCGTCGTGCGGGAGGATACCTGGGGTCAGGGTCAGAGGGCCTGGTGTGTCCAGGCTGAACGGTGAGAGGCGAGGCTGCCTGGGTCGCGGGGCCCAGTCGTGGAAGGTGTGCAGTGTGCCCCAGCCTCATGCACCCGAGTCTTCATGAGGGGGACGCTGTGGTGTGTATTTCGGAAGCTCGCTGGGGCCACGTGGACCCAGGTCTGCCTGGAGCATGAGCCCAGTGTTCTGCCACTGCTTCCCTGAATCCCACTGCACTAGAACCCCTGGAACAGGATTTGCTTTGTGCTACTCACAGATATGTTCGCAGCATCAAAAATGGTCCCTGACCCATGGGAGGTGTTAGAGAAACACTTGCTGGGCAACTTATACCTGGAGTTGGCTTTGGGCAGCCCTGCCTTTGCTGCATTGGGAGAGCTGGCAGCTGGTGTGCTGCGGGCCGCGGAAGCTCTACCCTTCTCAAATATCTGCAGACGCAGGTACAGGAGCACAGACCTTCCCAGCCAGTCGCCTGCCTGAGCACTTGGGCGTATGGTGGAGTTAATGGAGAATGCAGCCCAGAGACCTCGGGACAGGTTGCTTTGAGATGGGAGCCAGGGAAGGTGAGCCCCATATCCCGGTACGGGGGCCTGTGCCAGTCAGTCCCTGCCTTGATGCACGTGTGACTTTGATGGGCCCATGTGTGCGTTTCAGTAAATAAGTGCACCCAGCTTTATATGCACGTCCATATTTTTCAGGGTGTAGTGATGCACATTTCCAAGGGATTTGCTGTGAGATTCCTTAAGAATAATTTCTGTGCAATTAAAAGCAAGCAGTGCCCTGAAGAAGTGCATCTGTGAATTGAGGTTAACCTGCAGGTGATAAAACTTTAGATTAAAAGGACCCAAGTATGAGGCGTACACATCCAGAAAATAAAAATAAAATGAATAGAGGGATTAGATGGATGGATAGCTACATGATAAAGCAAATGTAGCAAAAGTGTTAAATCGTAGAGTATCTAGGTAGTATGTGTGTGGGTGTGTATGATAAAGTCATTTCAGCTTTTCAGTACATTTTATATTTTTCACAATAAAATACTGGTGGTGGAAGGGTTGATCCAAGTAAAAGAACAACAGGACATTAACCATTTTGATTAAGCTCAACCCTGGTTAACCATATCAATTTAATTGTTTAAAGCTATGTAACAGCTTCCCGTAAGTCTCAGATCTTCTGGAGATACGGTCTGTGACTGGCTCTCTCCTAGGCGATTCTCCCTCCCCCGCAAAGGTTTTACAGTAATCTTTATGTTTTAAGAGTTAATATATTCATTATAAGAAACTGAAGAAGGCAAGAAGCGAAGAACAAAGTCATCCACAGTCACAAACGGTTGACAGTGCGATGTGTCCTCCCTGGTCCTGTGTGCGCACGCGACATCCCGTTTTCCGTGACTGCGATCGTGCGGTGTGCGTCGTGCTTCTTCACACATCACGGGTATTTACCGATTCGAAACCCCAAAGCTATAGGAGTATTTTGATAACCAAGAATACACTACACCAACTCAATCTGTTTGAAAAAAACGTAATCCTGCCTTTCTTTGGACAGAAATTTCCTGGAAGACGAAAATGGCAACAGGCTTCTAGATCAAAGTGTTGGCAGAGTTACATTAAAATACTGCATTCCCCTAATGCTCAATTTAAAATGAGACATAAAGCACCAGTGTTTCTAAGAGGAGTCAGATCTGTACCATTAAAGTATTAGCAAGAAGGTATGTTTATACTGAATCACTCAAATGTATTTTTATAGTGTGGCCCAAAGAGATGCACATACGCAATGGCCGTCACCAGAATGTAAATGTGGACGCATCTGCATGCATCTCTCCCTTTTTACTTCCTGGATTCTTCTGCCCTCCCAAGCTGGAGGACCAGGCTGCCGATGGACAAAGTACTGCCCCCGTCCCCAACCCAGGCTTCACTGCTGGCTTCCCTCGGGAGAGGGGCCTGTCTGTGGGTGCAGTGTGGCCAGCGGCTTCCTTTGTGGACCTTGAGCCTTCGCGGGTGGGGACTCTCTGATGTGACGGTGTGCGAGGGGCCCGGCACACACGAGGCGCGTGGGAATCACTCCACTCTTTGCTCTGCTGTGGAAAGATGTGCAGCCTGGGGGTGGGGGTGGGGGAGGAATCCTGAGTTTTTTGTCTCCTTGGGATTGAAAACGGTGCTGTTGGCATTACTGCGGGAGAGCAGAGAGGAGCGTGGTGGTTGCGTTCGTGCCGTCTCGAGTTTGTGAGCACCTGCCACGCGTGTGATGCTTTTCCAGGTACAGAGGGAACGACAGGTGGCCGGGCCCTGGGAGGCCGCCCCGTCTAACCCTGAAAAGACATCAGTGCGCTTCACCGAAGGACAGTTTCTGCCACATGGGAGGAAAAGATCATGGACCAAGGCTTCAGGGTGAGGGCAGGTTAATTTTGGTTAGAAAAACATGGGATGCGATTTACGTGGTTTGTTTTTAAACGTCTGGCAGCTTTTTTGTGGTTTCTAGTCTGGTTTACACACGGGTTGAAACAACAAAAAAGAGAGCAGAGGAGGCATCCCTTGGTCCAGGAGGAAGCATGGGGGCGGCGTGGGGTGGTCCCGGACTTCCCTGTGCAAACAGCAGTCCCAGGCAGTGCCCTCAGGGCCACGTAGGGGGAGGAGGATGGAGGCAGAAAGAAATTGCCTGGAAGGTTCTCTGTTCCCGCACTTTGTGACTG